CAAGCCTCTCGATTCTCGCTAGAAGAGAGTTCTTCTTCTGCAGGATATGTCCAAATATATACTTATTCCATTCGGCTGCATCCTTCACAAACTCCCTGATAGAGCTGAGTAGGTCACTACCCCTACCCCAAGCCTGCTTCACCACACTCTCAAACCCTTCATGTATCAATCAGGCAACAAGGAACTTTAAAGGTTTGGGACCTGCGGCCTGGAACGTCGTGTTCAGTAGGATCAGAATGGGCCTATGATCACTCTTGATTCTTGGAAGGTGGCGGACAACAGTGTCAGGGAACATACTAGGCCAAGCCGAGTTGGAAAGGCCTCGGTCAAGGCGCTCTCTTACTCCCGTCCTGAACCAAGTGAAGGGCGGACCTTTGAAACCAAGGTCCCGTAATCCTGTGTCGAGCACACAGTCCTGGAATTCCCGAGCTCTACTTGCGTTGAAGGGTGCCCCTCCTAACTTTTCCAAGGGTTGTAAGATAGAGTTAAAGTCACCCACTAGAATCCACGGGTCTACCATCTCATCTGCTATACTACGCATTGACTGCCACAATTCGCGCCGCTGAATTAATTGGGGGTGTGCATACACTGCGGTCAGGTACCACCTATCATGCCCACTCGAGACTTGAGCGTGGAGAAGTTGGGAGGATTTGTCCTCTTCGGTTATAGTGACCAGTGATGAGTCCCATAGCAACCAGATGCCTCTCAAGAAACCGCTCGCGTCAACCACTAACCATTTATCATAACACATCTCCCGGATGACCTCCAATGCATCATTACCGCTAGTCCTCGGTTCCACAATGATGGCTATGCTCGGCTGATGTCGTATTTTGTATTCTCTAAACACTCTCAAGAAGCGTTTGCTTCTCGCTCCCCTACAATTCCATGAGAAAATGCTTAACACCATTAAACTCTAGGAAGGTAGGTAACCAGTAGCCCGAAAGCTACCCTCTTTTAAGAGCGGCCTCAGTAGCAAGGCCACTCATCTTGTTCTCTTTAGCTTTCTCGATGTTGTTTAGGGCTTTGTACACCACCATGTGCACCTTTAACTTGTCTTTGTCCGGGGGCCTGGTCTGCTGCCCCAAAGAGCTCTGCATGAGAGTAGGTCGGGCCACCAACCCCCTTTGCTTAGCCATATCAAGCTCCGTAATCACCTCCTGTTGTATCTCCCCATTAAGCTGATCCTGTCATTCTCCCGTAGTTGAGCTGAGGCAGTAACCTCCTTATTCACCACCAGAGCGTTGGGGGTCGCTGATGATGGCCCATTGCATTGGGTCGGTCGAGGGGATCTAGCACCAACCTGTTTTGCTTGATTCATTGTATATGTGGGTGGGAGGGTGCCCTTCCCACTTTCCCTATGTTGATTGCGAGACCTATCATTTTTAGGTTTGGGGTTCTGGCCAGGCCCCTTTTGCATGGTAGTCTCCACGTGATCATTCTCATTGGGTAGAACCATGGTATCTTCCACATGCAAGACATCGAACCGGGACCCCAATGGAGTCTCACTCGGCCCGTTCCGTCTTGTATTTCCGCTATTCTTTCCTTCAGAGCCACTTGGCATAGGGTCTTTACGTGCACGAGGCTTTCTCTTTGCTATCATCCGTTCTCCGTACACTGGTTCCAGTTCAGTATTGGGAGTCGTGGGCTGAGTCACGTTGCTCTCGGGTTCCGTCATAACGCCTGGTACCACACACTGACACTGAGCCCTATCAACATAAGTTCCACACTTTAGGCAGATCTTCTCCAAGCCTTCATACTGTATATAGTATTTCTTGCCATGAATAGTGAACTTTGACAGGAGGGTCTTGGTGAGGTCGACTTGAACGCACACTCGAACGTAGTCACTTCTAGCACCCGTCTTCGTCGCATGGTCAACTCGTAGGGGCTTGCCAATCCGCTTTCCTATCTTCATTACTGCATCCGGGTGGAAAAAGTGAATCGGAATCTCAAGCAGCCTAGCCCAGACCAGAGTAGAGGATATCTCATGGCTGTAAGGATCGAAGTGTTTAGACCATGGGTGGACCGTAAGATAATTCTCCCCCACCATCCATGGTCCACCTGTGACGGCTCTCTCATAATCAACTCCACTCGTGAAACGAACGAGGAAGTATCCGTTCTTAGCTGATGTAACCTGGATTGACCCAACATTTGCCCACATAGTATTCAGTCATTTCAAGATTAGGGTGTAGGATGCGGCTCGCCCCAGAACTTTCACCACGAGAGCTGATCGCCACTATCGACAGTATGTTCTCTCTTCCATCACTGAGAATGGGATGGAGGGGCAGGTGGGGTCGTTCTCCTGCTCAAAATCATCTTCCTGGCCGTCTTCGCGCATTGCCACCGCTACGTCTTCGGAGTCTGAGTCCTCAACGTACCACACGTATGTTTGGATCACTTCGCTGAATAGCCTTCTTGCAGCTCCCGCTCCCTGTCCCCATGCCGTTGGACGAGGACTCACGGGTTGTGGCTGCTTAAGGTTTTCCTCCGGTGCATCCTCGAGTACTTCGTCCTGACTATCATATGATACCAGATTTGGTGTCGTAGGTTTGGCTCTCTTCTTGGTGTGTTGTGCTTCACGATCAGATTTCGGGTTGGGCGACGAGGATTCGATGGGTAGGCGACGGTGCCTCGAGACAACGTCCGCGGGGGAACCTCCGTCGTGACCACCCGCTGCCAGCGGTGAGGTCACCGCCGGCATGGGTCGCGGAAGAAACCCTAGTTCCCTTGCTTTGGTTTTTCTTTCTTTCGTCGCCGCTCCGCTTTCTTCGGAGCACAATTTGCCTCCTATACAATTGCATAATATATAGTATAACCCAATAAATTCTCTTAAGCTAACCGTAAGTAATCCATATCACGAAAATATCAAATAACGAAAATATCAAATTCTCTTAAGCTTGACACTCGGTTTTTGGTGACCCGGGGTTGGGGATTGTATTGTTTTGGTTTTGGTTTTGTTTTGTTCCCTGTACATTTAGGTCCGGCTGCAGCAGCGCATGGAGCTGGCGGCAGTTGCAGTCCGGTTGCTGTTCTACCCTGTTTCTCTGTTTTTAATTATTCAATATATATCATCATTAACAAAAAAAAAATCAAATAACGAAAAAAAAACATCTAAAAAATACTACTCCAATATTCCGATAATTTTTTTTAAAAAATGCGACAAATTACACGATAAAGTAATTGTTCAAATATAAAAATGGGACTGAAACCAAAGTTTCATCATGTCGAGATCAATCAAAGGGTGATCACAAAGTTGTGGAGTCACAATCAACAAATTGTGTTATCAGCTTTCTTCATTTCACCACTACATAAAACCACGAGGTACGAGTTGATCATATCATATGCATAGTCACCCCCAGCAACTGAAACTTCCAATTTCCATTTTTCTTGAAGACTTAGCTTCTTCCTTCCTTCCTCCGAGTAGTGGTCCTGCAGACTCCTGACATATATATGGGTGGTTGGATTGGTGCAATTAATAACACACAGTTGCATGCCTTTCCTCCATCTGCTGCAGATTAATTAACACAATATTCAACCAAAAATCGAAGTGTCCTTTTTCCCAAAATGGCCAATCATTCACCTTAAGCACCCCATTCTTATTCCAGCTCTAATCCATTCTCTCCATCTCTCACTTGTACTACTCGATGATCCCCAATTCACCAATGTCAAGCAATATTCCTGTCCACTCTTCCACGTGCGTTCACATGGCAGAATTCTCTCTTTTCCCATTCATCTAGCTCCTAATCACCACCACAAATGTTCAAACCCCAAATCATTAAGCAACCCATCAACGTAATCATGATGATGATGATGATGAACATTAAGGTGATACTAATTACATGAATTGATATGGAAACCTGCCAAGGTAGATAATGTGGGGGAACTGACTGATACACACATAGCTCTCTGCATTTACTAGTTCATGACAGAATGCACTGAGTAGCTAGAACGACAAATCTATCAAAAAAGATGCCTCCTTTAATTTCCTTGTGGGTTACACGATGCACATCTTCCAGAAACTTGCCACCATTGCCAACTTGTTATGGAAAATTTCACCATCCTCTCTCTCTCTCTCTCTCTGTCTCTCTTTAACTCTTTTGCAGCTAGCTAGGTAGCAGTAAGTTAATGTCTCAGACAACAACCCATGAAACATTATGGTTTGGTCACTTCTCCTTGTTTTTCACCCTCCTAAGCCTGTCAATTACTGCTTGCATGCCTGCTGAAAGCTATAGCTGCTAGCTTGAAAGTTGGAGAAGTTTAGGCGGGCGACTACTATGGTTAGTAATCGATCGGTAGTGATGACCAGTGGAGAAGTTAGGTTGAAGTTAGGAGTCCCCCCTCAAATTGAAATTATAGATAAAATAATGTGAAAAATTTAATGTGAAATCGGTAACAAATTTAGCAAACAGAGTATTCGATAAGGTTGTAGCTCCCTCGAGATCAATTATCACGGTTCAGATCAATCTCATTTAGATTTCTGGCTTCGTCCAGCTGGTGACACTCTCAAAACTGGAATGACGATAGTATGCGACTAACTTGAAAAACTCTTCGAAAGGTCGCCATTAATTAGTGTGAGCAATACAATTTTGATTCATTGGTTGAGTGTTTATCTCGTAATCAGAAACTTCCCCCTCCCCACCACCCACCTTTTTAATTATCTGCACCACCTAACTTTTTTGTTGTTGTGGAAGGGAAGGATTAACTAAAACTTGTAGTCATTAATTACTCAATCGATTAGTTAATCATGAATGAAAGAGTCATCAATTACATGAGTTTTCTTTGGATTTATATATAATGAAAGAGTCATTAGCAAGAATGACAACTATTAATCAATCACTAGCTTAGTATACTTAAATTGCATGCATTCATTAGTCACTAAACACCATTCATAAAGAAAGAACAGAAAAGGAAAACTCTTATTACCCTGATCTCCCTCTCTCTATATATATGACACAAGTCTAGTGTTCTCTTCTCTCATTCTCTCTTTCGTCTTCTACCACAGAAAGAAGAAGAAGAAGAAGAAGAAGAAGAAATGTCGTCATCATCATCTACGACGACACTGAGCCAGTTGTTTGATCTTCCAGCAGGAGAGCAGATCTGCTATGTCCAGTGTGGATTCTGCACCACCATTTTGCTGGTCTGTTTATATAAACACTGAAACAGTCGATTCATTTCACTTCTCTTTTGTGTTCAATCTCATTCGAGTTAATAATGCCGAATTTTTTGTAAGGTGAGCGTGCCATGCAGCAGTATGTCAATGGTGGTGACAGTGAGATGCGGGCACTGCACAAGCCTGCTGTCTGTGAACATGATGAAAGCCTCTTTCGTTCCTTTCCATCTCCTAGCCGCCTCTCTTCCTCACCATGATCATAATCAAGATCTTTCTCCCCACCATAATCATCAACAACAAGAAGAAGCAGCAGCTGCTATAACGGTGACTACTACTACTACTACTTCTGATCATCATGTCGACAATGAAGAGGAAGATCAAGATCCCACCGTTCATCTCAACCGCATCATCAATAAACGTATGTAATCAATGAGATTAATTATGAATTATAATCAACACAAGCCACCACTTACAAAATTACTCCTCGATATATCTCTGCAGCTCCAGAGAAGAGGCAGAGGGCTCCATCTGCTTACAATCGATTCATCAAGTAAATTAACAAGCCAACTTGCTGTCATGCATGATGATATTTAATTTGGGGAAGATGGGTTTTTTATTATTACAAGAATATGTATATGTGTGCAGAGAGGAGATCAAGAGGCTGAAAGCTGATAACCCCAAGATGGCACACAAAGAAGCATTCAGCATGGCAGCAAAGAATGTGAGTTAATTACTATACACAACTTAGTTAGTTAGTTAGTTAGTTACCTTCTTCTGCATTAATTTAATTGATGCATGCAATTATGAAGTCTGACTGGAGTTGATCTGGGTTGTGTGTTAGTGGGCTCACTTCCCGCCAGCGATACACAGGGAAGATGGAGATGATGATGAGGATGAAGATGAGATCGGGTTTAAGCACCAGCGAAAGCAGCAGCAAGAAGTAGAAGTAGAAGAAGAGGAAGATCATCGTCAAGAGCCAAACACACCTTGGAGCAGCTTTGATGAACCAGAGGAGGTACAATATTACTATCTACTTCTCAAACTATAATCGACACCGGTACTGGGTTCGTCTGTCTGGTTGAGTAATTCTAACGGATAATCAATTTGATCTAATTGTCTTTTTTTTTTTAATAAAACGTTGAGCCAAATTAATCCGTTTGGCACTATAAATTTTGGATGGAGCAATTTGGCCTGATGAATTTTGAATTGCAAATTTTTGGATGAGAGCAAGTAATTCGAATTGACTTATTTTAAGTACTCACTTTGTAAAATGAGACAATGAACCAAATTGTCTTTTTTTCCCAATTATGCATAAAACCATCCCCTATAATTAATTAGTTTTACCTTCATGAAATGACTTAGTTTTTCAATTGCCTCAAGCTAAGGAGAGGGAATCTTTTTTATGTAGAACTAGTAACTGTCCATGGTGCAACAGAATTGGGATGCATAAATTTCCTGGTCTGCAGATTTTCAGGTGAGCAAACAAGGCAAAGGGTTTTGAGGGAACTTTCCATTATGGCAATCTGAAAGGAAAAGCTTGGAGCTTTTGGGGGCCAATGGGGCATTACTGTTCTGTTCCAATTGGTGCAATATGAAAGACACCTTTGTAATGAATTATTGAATGCATACACACCTTCTCTCTATTTCTCTCTATCTCTCTCTTCTTTCTTGTACAATAATAATTAAACAACTATATATATATATATATATATAGCACGTAAAGGCATTGTGACATTTTAGGGTTAGGGTTTTCTGTCAAAGTCTCATATCAATTTGTGGCATGAATGTATATAGATGCTCTTGGGAATTGGGGTATTTTGAGCTGCGCGCACACTCACTCACTGAACTTTCACCATCGGTACTACTGTAGATTGAGAAACCTATGATTCAGCTTCTATTTCCAATCCGTATCTACCTATAGTTAGCTTGAATGTGCAATAAATGTACATAGATGATATTGTGTGTTGTTGAATATCATATTAATCTACAATTAACTAGCTAGGATTTGCAAAGGAATCTAATAAAATATATGAATCTATGGGTTGAACTTTTGAGGTCGGAAGTGACACAAAACTTTTGTACAATTCGCGCCTGACGAGTCGAGTTGCTACAAGTCATGAAAAAAGATCGCGAAATACATTTTAAACAATATAATCTATGTGTATTATATAGCTACTATATTCCCGTTTTATATACAACTGATTAAAGAGATTAAAATACGGATAGTTTTTAGTTACTCACCGGTCTGATGAAGAATACCTGCGGCCGGCCGGCGAGGCAAACAAAGGAAGAAGTGCATGACGATGATGCTGATGCTGCTGAAGTTGTCAGCTGTAGTGGCGCTGGTGGTGGGTGTGATGATAATGGTGAGAATGGAATATAATTCTGTCCTTGTTAATTTGGTGTATAATCCTTTTGGCTAGATTTAATGGACAAAACAAGGGGGAGGAGGGAGACAAAGCAAAAGTGTATTGACCAGAAACAGAGCCAAAAAGAGGAAAGGAACAAAGACAACAGAAAAATTTGGCCTCAAAGTCATGATGGTTATATTGTTAAGACGCCATTACAAGGAAGGGATCGAGAGTCACAATGTATGGAAAGAAGACAAATGGCCAAGGTTAAGCCAAAGAAGAGCTACTCATTAAGAGATGGCTTTATCCCTTATAAACTAACGCTTTTACACTTTTAAGCCACCAAAAGACTTCTACGTAAAATTACAGTTATTATAACTAATGTAGTTAAAAACGCGCTCTAAAGCTTATGATTTTATGCTTCCAGATCACCAAAACGCTTCTACGTGCTTTAGACTAGATTGGAGATGGGTACCAAAGGATGGGCAGTAGTGATGACAACGGGGCGGGGCGGATACCTCAATACTCATATCCGTCTTGCACCAAGCGTAAGTCAGGTCAATTCATTCTGATATTTTGTTTGAGAAAACGTGATTTTATAAAGGTCAAAAGAGTGAACATACGAATAGATATTAATGCAAATTATAATAGAATGAGTTGAAAATAAGACAGAATAGGTCGTAATTAGTACACATACTCCATCTCACACTGCTACGAATTAGGTAATACTCGTCCCAAACAAATTAGACCTCAGATCGGCAGACATTTCCAATTTATCTAGTGGGTATCCAAGTTAAGGGCCGAGAAATCTTTCTTTCTTCTTCAAGAGGTTGATAAGACACATTAGTGCACATTTATGGGTGGTATCTTTTCTTGCCCTGTACCTAGCTGTGTAGTGTGTGTTTCTGTTGGACCTTGACACCCATTTGGTGACCAATTTCAAAGGCACTTAGCTCATATACATAGTAGCCTAACAATGAAAAGTGCCCCTTCACATATTGTGTTTGTTGCTTCACTTTTTTAATTTCACTAGTTTTTTAGCCCACACTTCGTGGCGGTAAGAAATTATTTATATTTGAAAATTTGTTCACTCATTTAATAATTTAACTAAAATCAAATGATTATAAAATCATTCGGGCAATATATTTTCATAGCTTTACATAATGCATTAATCATTATGAAATATTTATGTAACATGCTCGTTTAGTTGATATATAAGAAATAAATATCCTTTCATAATATTTATGTAACTACTGCAAATTGTTCACACAAGGAATGTTAGTTTGATGAGATGATTAATATAATAGTTAATAATAAAGGGATTCGATTATTAAAAAGTATCAAGTTTGTTTAATTGACTACTCATCTATTTACGTAGTGCCTTAATCATTACATAAAAATTAGATAATATATTTATTTAATTGATACATAAAAAATAACTATTCCTCTAGGATATTTACGTAATGAATTTGTAATTGAAGTAACTTTATTGAATGGTGTAACATAAATCTTATTGTAATATGTGGTCTAATACTAAAATCAAGTTATTCATAAAAAATAATAAAATCAAGTTACCCAAAATACATTCAATAATGATCCCTCCATAAATCTTATATAATTTGTAATGTAATTATAATTTATGTAACTGTTATTGATTGGTGATAGATAGACCTTCCGTAACTTATGATCTAATAATAAAATAAAGTTATAAATACATTTTTATTAAACTTTCATGTAAAAGTTAACGTACCATATGTAACCTTTGTGTAATGCAAATTAATGATGATGATGAATATTTTAGTTGATAATAAAGGAATTAAGTTATATAAACTATCACATCGACTAAATATGCTTTAAAAAGAGTACAGTGATTTGGTACATGAGATCATAATCCATGTGAATAGTATCATTGTGGGAAAATGTTACGTAAATTTTACTTAATGGATTGTTCTTTTATGTAATGAGTATTAACATCGTCATTACAGAAGTCTTCCGTAACATGTTTGATTTAACTGATTCGTAAGAATTATATATTATTACGTAGCCTTTATGTAATGTATTTGTATCTTACGTCACTGTTGTAAAATATCATTACATGATTCTTACGTAATTGACCGCATTTTACACATAACTTATTAGCGAATGAAGAAGTTAATTGTAACACTAAACAAAAGGAAGTCATGAATCATGATTCATCTATCATATAAAAGAAGCAAAATCAAACTAAACAAAAGGGGGGACTAAGTAGAAGCTTGGTCAGCCTTCACCCTTCATGCGGTACTTAGTGAGGAAAAATAGTTAAATGAGGTGATAATAATAAAACCGGCCATACTATATTGTACCCTTCATAAACACAACTTGCTGCCGAGATATAACCCTTCCTTGCGTAATTAAGGAAACAATAATCATAATGCTATTTTTCGTATGAAACAGTAACTTTTAATCCTTGGTTACTTGCGCTATTATAATAATAATAATAATAATAATAATAATAATAATTGCCCGTCCCTTGTCGCATTAGTCATTGCCCTACGACTCTTTCCATTGGGATGTCTATATATGTTATAAATTCGTGTTTGGTCTTGTCCTAACTTTAAAAGAACGGGTGAAGTTGCTCTTGTTTGGATGATGAAATTGGTCAAACAATTTGCTTTAGTCGTATTGAAATGAAGTAATTGGGATAATTTATCTTCTTTGGCAACAGAAAATAACACATCAATTTGATTGAAGCAATTTGAATTGTATTTTGTTTTTTTTTTTTTTTTGCGTCAATTTGATAGTAGAGTGATAATAATTTTAAAATGATAAATCAATTCTGAGATAATATAATTTCAATGTAGTTTAATTACATTGTCTCATTTCAGAAATCCATCAAATTCTAATAGAGATTACATATCTCCACTTTGTAAAGCTTCGGTCCTCACCAAGATTCGTGGACAATAGGCCTCTGAAACCCCTCGAGTTTTTATGACCTAAGAGTCACCTTTTAAGTAGTATCATCACTTGAATAAGTGTGTTGAAGAGTGTCTTTCTTTAAGACCAAACTTTCTTTGTCTTTCTTGTGCAACAAATTTAGTACTCATACTAGATCTTGGTAAGAGGAGACCACGCTCGACAATGTACAAAAACCACCCTCACAAGGCTCATCCTTTAATTTGCTTCCTTATACCTAATCGTCTGCATGCCCATGTAAACCCAAGTAAGGGTCCAATGCCCATAGACATATTCGAACAAATACATATATGTATCCAACTAATACAAGAACCCAAACCCAATCGATCAGTCCCTCAACATCCTCCCCTAAATTGATGATGATTTTTCAACAACAATTTTCCAGAAAGATAGCATTAATGATGATTGACAGTGAATGACTTAGTAAAGAGATATTGGTGGTGACAAAACTGCAAGTGCACAGTGTCGTACAAGTAATAAAGTGTAAGTAAAATTATCGTTCTCTAGGATATTGATGAAATTCAATAATTGACAAATTTAGTTCGAGAAACTATAGGAATTGCAAAGGTTGTAATCAAGTGATGATTTGCAAAGATACGCACAAATTAAGTAACTCGATAAATCAACTATTTTGGAGAAATTGATATTGGAGAGTTCCGGGGGAAACACAAGATTTTACTATTTTACCTCAGTAAATTTAATTACCCTTGTCAATCAATTTAATCCATATTTCTACAGTCGGGATACCTCTAAATTCATAGCTATATCTATCGAGAATTACCACGTACTAACTAATTAAGACAATTTCTACTATCGTAGTTAACTGAATTAATTAATTAGCCTTAAGAACGATACCCCTAAAATGACTGCATAATTCCCTATTTAATCCACTATCGCTTCGATAGGCAATTATGTTGTGTGAAATGTATTCGGTTACTAGGTTTTCACTATCGTTATTAACCTAGAAAACTACAAATCATTGTGAAGGTGGCCAATCAACACAAAGCGTTAAACAATTTCACACGATAGCAAATGGAGGAAAAACAAGTCCCGATTAAAACATTGAGGCTAGATAATGAAATCCATAATTTCCCCCAGAAATTGGAGGATTAGTTCATGATGAAAAGAAAGAACATAAACATGCTAATGTCCAACATCATAACTAATTACCAAAACAAAGGAGTAGAGAAAGTACTAAGTGTTGAAGTTAACCCCCAACTTACAAGAGTCTTCCTTTCTTCAAAATGCTCAACTCCAAAGTGTGCCAAAGTGAGCTCTCTCCTTTGATTTTTCTCACCAAAATGTGTCTCCAAAAGTGTCTCCTAAGGTCCTTAGTTGCTGCCCCTTTTAAATTCATTTTATGCAGATTTTATCTCACAAAACAATGCACTTGCAGATCCCATTTCCAAGAGAAAACTGCTGCTAGCTTAAGTCTCTTTCTTTGCAATAAATTCTTGCATCATTTTCTCTATTGGTGAGCCACCAAATCTATTTGTTCACTTCAAGAAAGCTGATTCAATCCCAATAATTTCTGAGGATTGCTGACAGTTGAGTGAAGATTCCAACCAACAATAATTCGATTTGGGTCTTTATCGGTTTGGCGTCCTGCTGGACGTTTGCCACTCCACGTCTGCACTTTGACACTGCACCT